TATTTTATTCGTTTGATTATAAAGTATAAATTTCTATTCATCACAAAAGCTTTCTCAAAGATTAAACATCAACTTTTGATTTTTCGGAATTCCTAAGTTAGGAATATCTATCATAGATAAACTCCGTCCAATAATTGACTTTATTAATAACTGACTTTGTCAATAGAAAAATTAATATTAAGTACATTGGTATCTTCCAGGAGGCGCGAGGAGACCTTAAAGGGGGTCCCGAAATTATGAGGAAAAACTGTTGGCGAATTAGTCGTAGACTCTGCGAGCTCGGCAGAACTTCGACAATAAGCCCGGTTTTAATTACCGCGACATCTGGGTGTCGCGTATAACCCTCCGAGCTCTACCAAGTCGTCATCCGGATTCTGACCATCGCGCAGAAGTTACAACTAGATAATTGTCGAGCAGTCAGGCACGTAGACGCTACCCTTCTTCGTAAATGCCCCAAAATATATTAACGGCGCAATGGTCCACATAATGAAATCCAACGATCGATTGACTAAATTAAGCGGACAGATTAAAATGGGTATTTTAATTGCTCCAAAATCCCAACGACATACTCTTTATAATATCAATATATTTAAAAAATAAGGATTTCCTCTACGATAAGAATCAATTTTAGCATTGAAAAAATGGAATATTAAGAAATAATTCAATTAGCAACAAATTATGATTAATAAATTTATCATGATACAGAAAAAATTATATAATAATATATAATAATTATATTGTTTATTCTGTAAGAGCCCCCATAAAAAATATAGTTTTATTTTCCAAACCAAACAAAGTTATTTTCATTGCTCAATATATATGCGATTTTGACAACTTATGGTGCAATTTAGGAATTGCATCTGTTACCTAAATCGTACTAATCAGAGAAATCTATAATTTTTTTTCTAAATGATTAAATATTGACAAATTCTTTTTTTTAATGAGAAAGAGGAAAATAACCATCTTTTTGATGACATATTTAAAAATATATTATCTCAAATATGGTATTTCACAAATATATAATCTTCTTTAAAAAGTATAATACTAGATTTAAAAAGTAATAATAGATTTAGAGAGTCAATCTTCCCAAAATACACACATACATACATTTATATAATGCAACTTTATAAATGTATATACTTTACAAATATCGATATTTTTATGAAAAAAGAAACAGAAAAAAATTGTGATCACATATTACGTCCAGATTGTACAGCACGTACACGTATATATCGATGAACGAGAAGAGATGATTTCGAACAAGAGTCGAAGCGACAGGGGGGACGGACGGGCACGGCGACATGTGACTCGAACACGTCTATCTGCAGATAATCAGCGCTTATTACCGGACCGGGGGTTAATCGACGCAACGGTCGACCAGGTGAATCACGCCAGAGTCAAGGGTGCATGACGAGCAGCTCGTGCACACAACGATTCATGATTTACCCTCTGCCCGCCCCCGATTCGTCGTTTCGGAAAACACCTGCCCCCCTCCCCCCGTATACCTTCATTTGCGTTCATACTCGTGATTGTACGCGCACGAGCCGCCAAAACGTGCGCGATGCGTATCGCAGTATGTGAAAGTCATAAAGTCGTGCCGAAAATAATCGTGAACGCTAATATAGCATACTTGCCGGCCATCTAAATATTATTTTATTTCCCGTTTTTACTATCTCTTTTTTTCAAACATTATTCTTTAATAATAAATATATTAGATTGTTTATTCTTTTATCTATTAATTATTTTTTTAACTTCTTAAGAATGTCGGATTAATTAATTTATATAAAATAAATATTTTAGATTTATTAAGACTCTTAATTTATTCATTTATTGTATTATGCAAAAAAAAATACAATTATGTATGTGTCGTGCGATGTAATAGTGTGAAACTACTTGAAGTATTTTCTACTGTCAACTAGATAAATATATAGACGGACAATAAATAAAAACGCTTATATATATCTTATTTGTTAAAATGATAGTATTATGATCTCGAGCAAATTCTTCTAAAGACACTCACCAGTCTCTCGATCGCTTCTATCCTCGGTTGTATTCTCACCCAGCATGTCCTGCAGCTGAAGCGGCTCCCGAAGACCCAAAAGAAGCTCCTCGCCCGTTACGATGTCGCGAATGGTTTCATACAACATCTATGATCATCAAAATTGATATTTATATATAATAAATGATTAATTCTTTATTCTTTCAGCACAAAGATATATTCCAAGTTAATTTTAAAGCTCTTCTTTTTACAGTGTGTTTCATTCCGTAAGAACATTAATTCTTTAAGGTTACGACTTATGTTAAAATTATTCCTTTATCGTTAATATCTTAATTATGCGTGCAACATATAATTAATATTAAATATAACTTTTGCAAAATAGCGAATAAATATCTGTGTCATTAAATCTTTCCGTCATTAAATCGATATCTATTGCGACGTTAAAAATAAAGAAGTTATCACAGACATTATAAAAGCAAGCGTTTATCCCTAATAAAATCTATAAAAATATTAATGAAGTAAAGATGCGCGCATACATTTCGATTTTATTAAACAATATATTTTCTCGCACGCGTATAATCTGCATGAGATTCTATGAAGGTCCGCTATAATATCGGGAAACCGTGAAACGATCTTTATAGTGTCGTCACAGGGCCCCGAAGCATCATTACGACAGCGATTCTGCATTGATAGAGAGAAAGAGAGAGAGAGAGAGAGAGAGAGAGCGTCTCTCCCCCATTCCCACAGCGATTGCGAGAGGGCGTATAGGAAGTCAGTGAAACGACCCCGTGGGGTGACTTAATAACTAAACACCCTGTATACATGTAGCTTACGGCGCGCCCACAACATCGCGGATACCATGTGCCACGGTTCACACAAGGGAAGGTTAGAAAGAGATAGAGAAAGAGCCGAACGGACAGAAGCACGAGCTCGACCCTAAATTGACACCGTGACCTCCATCGTTTCCGCTTATAACGTCTATTCGACGGCCAATCGTATGTGAGGATAGTCCCTTCGAGGGTGATTTGACCAAAAATCTGTTTTGTAATGCCTCTTGAGAGACTGAAATATCTGTTTAAAACTAACGCAATTCCGGAGGCTAATCTCAAAGGCTAAATAGATTCCGTTGTATATATATATATATATATATTATAAAGCGTATTTTCTAAATCGTTATCTATTTTATTAAAAAATGGATAAAAAAATTAATCTCTTTTTTTATCGTACAATAAATGAACGCGTTTTTTTAAAGAAACTCTCTGATGCTTCAACAAGGCTTACGCGTATATTACGGGTGAGGATGTATTATATAAAGTCGCTTAAGGGATCTTCTTAGTTTGACGCTCTGAAAATAAAGCGATTTTTGGCGAATTTTTTTAAAGAAAAGTATAAAACATATTAATTCTAAACTTTGCACGTTTAAATAACATTTCAAATATATCCTAAATTTTTTTCAAACAAAAATATTTGTTCGTTTCGAAGTTATAGTAGTCCAACCAGGGCATCCAAAAAAAAAAATTGTTGTTTATGGCAAACATGATCCCAGCCGTTATAATTATCTAAAATAAAACAAGTAGAGTTGTGCAAATTAGAAACTTGCACATTGCTTCCTTATCATTTTATCTTACAAAGCTTAAGCTGCTTTAAGCATGCGGATTTTTCAATTTTTGCTTCCTCATAGAGGAAACTTTGTGAGCAAAATAAAAATTCAAATGAATTCTTTCACCGATCCTCGCTAAATTCAATGTCAAACATCCTTTATACATACATACATACAGACATTTTTTAGGAATATGATTTTCTGACGTTTTGAAACATTCTAAACACATTGGCATAGAAAACTCGAAAAAAAATTTTGTCACGAAAACAAAGCTTTCTCTATGAGGAAGCAAAAGACCAAAAAGATTCTTAATCTGTATGAGTGTGGCTATCGTATGAATTAGAATTAAATCGATATTTGCAAAATTCGAATTTTGCGACTTACAAAACTAACCAATGTTTTGGTGAAAAATAAAATTTTTTTTTGAGACGTTGCCATTTTTTTATTTTTCAATATTTTTTTATTCTGGTTCGCGCGATATCCACACTCATACAGATTAAAAATCTTTTTGGTTTTTTTATTTTAGATGACTGTAACGGCTGGAATCATGTTCGCCACGAACAACAATTTTTTGAGGGACACCCTGGTTGGACTACTATAACTCCGAAATAAACAAATATTTTTGTTTGAAAAAAAATCAGGATATACTTGAAATGTTATTTAATAAAAGTGCAAAGTTTAGAATTAATATGTTTTATACTTTTCTTTAAAAAAAATTCCCAAAATTGCCTTATTTTCAGAGTATCAAACTAGGAAGACCCCTTAATGGATGATCAAATATGTGGAAAATAACATAAGAGCTTTGTAAGGTACACTAATAAGCGTCTCAACAATCGATAACATATGCGGAATAAATTGGAACTCTATTTGACGCCGAGTAATTATTGTTTCCTATTAACTGCAACTGTCGATCGAGTGCCAGTTGCGTATAAATGCTCGCTAAATAGAGGATGCGTGAGTCAGAGAGAATAATCGCCAAATGTCTAAAAAAAGAATCATTTTGTTCTAAACATAAACAATAGTTTTCTGACTTTTTCGTCACATTGACAACATCACATGATGTCGAAAATTGTCAAAAGATTGAACGGAGAATTTTTTCATCATTTTATAATATCATAAAACAAAGCCGTTTTTAATAAGCAATTTATATTTAATTTTCTTGGATTATTACACTAATTATAAATATTCCCGGCAGTCAAATCAATATAATTTTAATAATCATTCGCACATGTCACTTGCACACGAGAAACGATCACAAGAGGAATTTTCTATTGTTTCAATTTTTTATTATTTAATTTCTTATTATTGAATCTGTATTACCTGACCGCCGTTGAGCACGTAGCGCATGTTTACCGCGTGTGGATTAGCAGTACTTCGAATGTATTTCAGCCAATTGTTCGTCTCGTGAGATGCGTCCAACCAGCCTCTCACTCCGCTGTCCGCTATGCAAATCTGCAAGAAAAATATAGTATCAATCGTATATATAAAAATATCTAATTACAATAATATTATAAGATACAATAAAAAATTTCAAATGACTGTCAAATATCTTTTTTTAAATTACTTCTTACATTACATCTAAATTGAATTAATTATTTAATCATAAAAATAAATTGGAAAAAAGCGATTAAAGTAATTAATTAATTATTATGTAAAATGTAATTAATTAATTATTTAGTTAGTTCGCTCAACGCTTATCGCACATTATATCGAAGGAAAATATTTTTGTCAATCAATATAGACATATTAAATCGCAAATTTATCATATACAATATTGCAAAGTTTATTTTATGACGATTAATGACAATATAAAGTCGTATCTGGAATACTTTCTACATATTTGTGTTAAAAATTACGTGACTTGATTTTTCCATTCTAGCTCGATTCTGGGCGATACCTAAAGTCGCTTGCGATAGCGAAATTATTTTTCAAGATTTACAATATCGACGCACGTGCGTAAAACGGCGCGTAAGTACTGTACACTTCCGGCGGTTTCGGATTCGGAACATTGCATTTAACGGACTGTCACCCTCTCATCGCATCTGCTTCGGCGACTTCTCTCCGCTCCAGCATCCACCGCAACATCCAGGAGAGACGTCCCTGCTTTTAGGGCGAGACAAGTGATTTTTTTCAATTGTTTAGCGCGAGCGGGCCTCTCGACGCCCCGCGACGCTTGACCGACCATGCGTCCCACCCCCGATGCGTCGGCGTCGTTCCTGGACACCCCATTTGCCACCGGGAAGCTACACAGACATTCTCCTCGTCACCCTCGTCTCACGCGGTAAACACATTTTGCACTTCTACCGCGGACCTTGTTGTCCCCGGCCATTTACGAGAAAATATTTCCACCATAAGCCATTGTATCTATCAAACGAAATAATTTGGAACTCTTGTATTCTTGTTATCGAACGAGATTGAATTATCATTAAACGGGCAGAATACGAAGAGTGTCTACAATATTTATAATATTATTATCGCTTGCAATTTTAAATAGTAAAATGATATTATATGTAAATGAATATAATGGCATTATTATTTTATATGTGCGTTATTTAAACTTATGTCTGCTTTAGACGATTTATACTCGGATAAAATTCGAGATAGAATTATATTTATATGTCGAACAGTAGAAAAAACATTTAAAGAAATATAATAAAATATAAGAAATATACAAATACACACTATATTAAAAAATATAATATATAAAATTATAAATAAAATCTCTTGAATTTTAAATATTTGACGAGATTTATAAATCACCACAAAAAACTTTATCAAACTTAAGATAATATTCATTAGAAGAGAATACAATAATAATTAAACATATATATTACTATATAAATTAAATAAATAATTAAAGCTTTTTATTATTATATTGTTATTAATTATGATTTATAATTACACATTTAATGATTATATATAATCACTTATGATTATAGCGTTCTTGATAAATACTCGAAATTAGAAATCCTAAACTGAGGATAATATATACTTTTTGTTTATAAAAGTTGCGAATAATCTCGATAAATAGATTTTTAATAAAATATTAATAGAAACATATTTCTCTGCGGAAGCAAATAAAGACGGTATTATCGATGCCTGATAAGATCGAGATGATTCTGAAAAATTTGTCCTCGCATTTTTCAAAAGTTTATCAAGCTTATGTCTGGTCATGATATTTGCAATAGGTCTGCAGACTGACACCACCTGCTGGTTGTAAGTGTAACTAGGTGTGTGCCTATAAAAATCAATGAATCTCTCGCAGGTGGATACGCGTTGGTTCCACAGGTAAATAATCCCGGTCAGAGTGCGCTTTAAGTGACGGGAAATATTTCTTCACTGAGAGCTTTAAGGATCCGCAGGTCCAGGGATAATCCGTGCCCGCGGCCTTCTCCAAAGACACCGGATAAACCGCAAGAATTTGTTATGCTTCGACACTTTCGAGGCTCTTCCCTTTCACTCGCAAGCTCTATGCTTTTTCCCCGATTCATATTTTGATCTTCATCTTCCTATTCTTTTGTGTAAGCCTTTCATTTCATTTTCATTTTAATCTTTACTGCGTGAGAATCTCTATTTTGAGTGTTATTTTTAGTGTTTTATATGTCCTTTTTTATGAAATATTTTGCAGAAAGTTTATCTTTTTTATTATTGTTTTTCTTTAATGCTACAATTATTCTCTTGTCTAATGCCGCTAATCTTAATTTTTGGTATACACTCGAAGAAATAAAAATATATATTTATTTAGAATCTATATTATAATTCTTGATAAAAATTCTATTCTGGTTATTTAATATAAAATACGAATTTATATAAAAATGGCGTGAATCTGTAATAAAACTTTATAAATCTCACTTAAATCAATAAATTTGAAATTAATTAAATTAATGGTTTTGCGAAAAAAATATACACATTAGCATCTATCAAAAAAAATAAATAAATAATAAATCGGGATGTGACCAAAAATTAATATGTTACTTCCACAGTATCATGTCTCTCACAACGTGTTAATCCAGGTAGTGCAGTCGAGAAACTCGTAATAGTCTACAATAGCCCAATAGGAAACAGGACAGTTTAGTAAAAGAACGATGAAAAGGAATCAAGGCGGCACGATTCCTCGATGATCATAATGGCTATTTTGCTACTGGGGACCATTAAGGTGAGTTTCTAGAAGACGGGCACGAACCGGCCGTTCTATACAATAGAACTCGCTAGCTTACACGACAGATTAGGATCTGTCGCCGAGTCTCACCTACGACAATGATGCGCCAACTGGTTCATTGGCGTCGCAGCGGATTTTTCCGCGAGGGATGCCGGATTACTTATAAAGAAAAAAAATTGCTATCAACAGAACACATGTTTAATAAAGGGGGAAGTACCGTCGCGATTGCGTAATCCATTTTGTTACATAAAATAAAATTTAAAAAAATTTAATTTGTTTTAATGTGTAATTTAATTTAACTTTATATTTTTAAAAAAGGTATTTTGTGTGTAATGCTTTTTTTTAACTGGAAAAAAAAATTTAAAGCCACGCTAGTGACAAGTAACGATAACAATTCCAGCAAAGTGAGAAACTTGTCTCACAATACTAATATAAATTCCAATAGAGAAAGAGGTATGGATATTATTAAATGTAACAGAGAAACAGATATTTATGAGATACTCACACACTCCAGTTACGCGCGACGGAAAGTCTCCGACCGCGTTTTCCGACATTTGTCAAGGAAAATTGAGACGCGGATATTATAGAGGACAGAAAGAGAGATTCGTCACTGGCTTTAACGACCCAGCGGGAAGTTTTGCCGGCTTTGTCGGCATACGCGCGGACATGTGCTAACAATTCGTAGGACAGATTTGTCTGGCCGTGAATATCTCCCATGATCGTGGCCGCGCCATTCTGACGCGAAACGGAAAAAATTATAATGCTGAGAATTGTGACCCAGAATACCTTATAATAGGCCGTATCCGATATATTACAATAGAAATTTTTATAATTTCGAAAATCTCGCACATTCTCCCCCTTCCCCCTCTCCTCCCCTCCCCCTCTCCTCCCCACCCCTCTCCTCCCCCTTCTCCTCTCCCTCCTCCTCATCCCAAAGAAGATAAAAATATTATACCTATTAAATATAAATATCATATTAAAAGTTCGTATTGAATAATAAGAATGCATGTAAAAATTATAATAGCAGAAAAAGTGAGAATAAAAATTCTTACATTTATTCCTCTAGAATGAAGATCCGAGAATTTCACGAGTCGAATTTTTTCGAACCAGCATAAGCGTTAAACGCGAATAAATATCGGCGAAGCTATCTCGGCGAAAGAAGATTTTCACGCGTCTTTCGGCGAGGAAGGACGGAAAATCGGGTAAGTAACGACCTGAGGCTACGATACATCCTGTCCATCTCGGATGATCCACAGGACACACGATCGGTGGATCCTCTCGGCATGGGGTCACGCAAAAGACTTGTCCCCGTTTCACAAAACGCGCGCGTCTCTTTCTCTTTGTAACCTCACACCTCCAACAAAACGAAAGCCTACGAAAGGTTTTTCCACGTCGCTTAGGTCTTACCGAAAATATCCCACACGGAGAAAGAAGCTGCCAGACAAGATTCTTGTTCTCAATGGTCCCTCATAATCGGCGACACGCCGCATCGTGTTGTCGAAACCTCGAGCGATCCATCGAGACGAGGAAAATAATACGCTATCGATCGCGACATATCGTCGAGATCTAACGGAAATTTATATATCTGCTTCCCCCCGACATATGTGCATATATCGTGAAAACTTGGTCTACAAATACATATATATATATTTATAGATTCAATTTTCACGATCGATTATTTACACTTGTAGAATGATAAACATATTCCCGTTACACTTAAATTTCTCCCTAAATTTTCTGAATTTTATAAAAAATATTATATATAAAAATTATTTTATAAAGATTATATTAAATTATATAATA